TATTTTTATTTTTTTATTTTTATTTATTTATATTACTAAAGGCCTTAAAATATTTTCCATTCTGCTCCTTGAAAGTCACAGTTCCCTTCAGTGGATATTCAGCCTTCGACGGACCTGAAAGGAAACACAAAGATATCATAACATTAAATATTAATTCACAGCTTGTAATTTTGTCTTTACATTACTGAGTGAAAGTGGCCTGCACTTGCTTACCATGCCAGCTCTTAGTACCGAGTTTTAATCCTGCTTTATCTGACTCCGTTCTTTCTTAGGCACCAGCGCCTTACGGAGGTATGGTATGATTAAAAAGGCTGCGAGGAAGAACACGTGTCCACAGAAATAGATGGACGAATACACCTGAAAATCAAAAAGTGACAGTCAAATTCAAATTCTCATTTATTCCAATGTTATGATGACACCTGCTCTGCCTATCCCCCAGTTGCCATCTGAGATTGTCCTGTCTTAAACTTAACTTTGCTACTCTCTACCTTTCAATACCCAATGTACAAATACCAACCACTTTCCACACTCAACATCGAACTACGTCAATTGACACATTGTTCCAGTTCCTGGAAACGTATCGTATCTTTTGTCCGTGTTAAAGACGCCCCTCTTGTTGCTGTTTCCAGTAAGCTGCCTTTAAGGCCATGTTCAGAAAGACAACAGCTGCAGTCCTCCTTTTCTTTTCACCAATACAAGAGAGCGTTCCAGCGGAAAAAAAACAACAAAGCACTGCAACGTCCAATTAAATACTTATAAGCACACATTCCTGGTAGATTGTCGTATTTCTGCTGTTTACTGTACCTGGCAAAATTCACTGTAGTAATTTAGTAATAATAGTAATTTCACTGTTGCTATTAAAGTTTATTCAGTACACACAACATTATTGCACATCTGGAAGGAGGATCCCTCCTCTCTTGCTTTTCCTGAGGTTTCTTCCATTTTTTTTCTACCAGTTAAAAGGTTTTTGTTTAGGAAAATTTCCTTATTTGAATCAAGTACAGAGGGCGCCGCAGGTTGTAAAGCACAGACGCAAATCTGTGACTGTGAGTTTGGGCTGTATAAATAAAGTCGACTTGATATTTCATGACGTCATAAAACAAATGCTGAGTTGTAAAAGCCTCTCTCGTAGTATCTTAATCAGCTGTGCAGTGTTTTGATATCCGATAAGCCTTTTAACTCTTGGCTCTATTCGTCCTGGGGCCTGGTTAAACTGAAGTGAATTGGAAGCACTACTTACACGCAGATCACAAATGGTGGCAACATCCTGTCCCACAAATGACTGTTGTTAACGAACAACAGATACACATTTGATTCCTAAAAGGGCTCTTGAATGCTCTTGTGTGGGTAGCAAGTATGCTGTTTGTTTGGATTAGTTAAAATGTGTCAGAATGATCTCATGATCTCATCAATTCACCGGATGTTGCACATTCGGTGAAACTGGCCCCAGAATTGCACCCCCACCTCTTTGTATTATCTTAACACAGTGCAGTTTTCAGACAGAAAACCTGGTAATTCAAACTGTGCTGTCTGCATTTGGGTCCTCTTTCTTGTTTCCCCAAACCTGGATGACGATACCAAAAGCTTACAAGTGTGAGCAACCATATTTATCCTATGACCTGTGTGGTCTGTGAGAAATATGTGTTACCTTGAGCCATTTGTCATAAGTGAAGAGGCAGAACGGCACTAAGGGGTAGCCCATGAAGAGCCAGTGGAGGAACTGCTGGACTACATAGATGAGAGGGTAGAGCGGGCTGTTGGCCAGCTTCGTCAGCAAGGGACTGTCCCTCACTAGTGCCAAGGCCTGTCACACACACACACACACACACACACAGAGAGAGGGGGAGACACTTATAGTAATACAATAAAAGAATGGGTATGTAATAAACTGATGCCGAATTGTGACTGTAGTCAATATTTAATTACAAGTACATTCCACAGTGAGGTGAATTTGATCAATAATGTCATGCTATTTAATAAAGTCTCTTGTTGAAAAAACACAAAGATAACATTTTCTGGAGAAAATACAACAATAAATTTACCCACCTACTGAAATAAATACCCTCATGGTTTGTGCTTAGGTTACCCATCCCTAGATTCTGCCCTGGAGCATACCTGTCTCTCTACAGTGATGATGAAGAACTCCATAGAGAAGCACAGGATGTATCCGGAGTGAAGGCCGTGCCAAATCGTTAGGAAGATGAGTGTCGTCACATGAGACAGGGTCTTGTTGCCGAGGAACTTCAACCGCTTGAAGACATGTCTTAAAAAGACGAAATACAAAACAAAATAAGTCAAGAGTCACGGAACATCTTTTGTTGACCAAAAATCTGGATAAAAGCAGTCAGAAAGGCTTAATGCATCAGCTACCACAGCCTACATGGCAAGCACTCACTTACCTGGAAGTTGCTGTTGCATAGCAACTGAGGTTATATTAAAACATTTCAACAACTTTGCATCCTCTACAAGGGTACTTGTCAATTCAATACTGGCCCAGACTCTGTGTTATAATATCTAAGACAAGTGCACACGTTCTGTTTTCGATCCACAACCTGCAGTGTTTCTTTTCTCCTTACAGCACACTGGTAACAAGCTGCAGTATTAACTCTAGAGAGCAGGGTCAGACAAATAAGTACATGAAGTTCTGCTGTTTAAAAGCTTTGCTCGTGGCCTTTAAAGCATCAGTTTCCTTCAAACAAAGTGCTGGCTGAAAAATCGTACAAGCAAGCTCTCTTAACACCGTGACAGGCCAGGTGCAGAGGTGAGAAAGTACGCAGCATTTGAACTTCTGAGCTCCCTCTTTTCATACTCCACACAGCTACTTCTGCCCGTTTTCGTGTGTACAACCAGAGGAGGGATATGAGGAGAGACTGTCAATTGACTTTTCACCCCGCCTTTGAATGCGTCCACTTAGAATGGCTATGGGTATTTCAGACATAACTAGTGTGTATACTGACCACTTAATGGGCATCTCCATAAATCAAACATTGTCCTGCTCGTACTAATTAATCAAGTCTCTCTGATTCACACTGGTTTCTTCCTTTTTTAAGATGTATGTGAATTTAAATGCCTCATAAAAAGCTTGCATGTTTATAATTTCATCCTGCCAGGCTTCAAGAGGAAGAAGGCTTACAAAAATATAATATCAAACTCAACCCATTTAATACTAAACTGTTTACACGTGTGCTGAGAGAATCATAAATCAGAAGTGGCACATATGTGACTATAAATAGAAAAGTTGTAGGTCAAACAATGGGAGCGTTTGAGGTGTAAAGTCTGTATTTTTATCTTTTATTTTTTATTAGGGCATGAAAGCTCTCAATCGACCAGTTATACAATATAATCTCATCTATAAGTGAAGTTCTTATTCGTTACATAAGAGACTTTTTACTTCCATTTTCTAAAAGGTGTCCCCTCCCCTCCTCCATTCTCTGTTTCTATGCAGTTTTTTTCAATAATAGAAAGTAAAAGTGAGCTTAGGTAGGTAATGCATTCAACTGAAATGGACCATGTAATAAATTGTACGTTGAATAAATTGCTTTGCTCACTTCAATCATCGTCAAACGATGTCACATGCTCCTGCTGTAAAACTGTTCCTTGAATTGTCTGAAAAAGTGAAAACTTTTAAACCACTAAGGATTTCTGCTTCCTTCCTCTGATGATTCCTGTGGTGTTAAAACGATCTTTGGTGTGTGATACCAAACTACATCTTCTTTGTGAGGGCATTGCAACACATTTACATATTTATCGTATTGAACCGTCATTACCCTGTACTTCACCGTTATCATCTACTGTAAGTAAATATTTAACTTTTACAGCATTGCTTTGGATACAAGAGAGAGAACGTCACAGATTTCAGGCTCGGACACTGACCTGGCAGCCCAGGCGTTTGTGTTGATGTTGAAGGAAGAAATGGTTCCTGAAAAAAGCGGCGTGGTTTCGAAGAGCCACACCTTCATATTGGCACAGGCGTCCCACTTGTGCTCTCCATCCACTACACCATTGTAGCCTAGTCCAGCTAATATACATATACCCTCCTGTAACACAAAACACACATCATTCTCATCATCATTTGTTAATGTAAGGACACACCATGAAGCTGTCAATTTGAGCTGATTAGGGTGTGGAACCATACACGTATGAGTGTAGGCAAAGTTCTGTAAAGGGCAGAGTTTGGCTGTTAATGCTCTCACTGCAAGTGTTTAGCTATGTACAGTACTGTATGTAAATACAGCTTTCTGAATGAGGGTTATTTAGGGTACCAAATCATGAAGCTAATAGCCAGCACAACAACATTTCATGCACACATTTGCAGATCAAGAGGCTACTTACCGCTATAACCCAACAGCTGACATATTTATACAAAATGACTTTAGCCCAAAGCAGAACAAACACACAGCGATACCAGAAGGGCTGAGCCTGTGGAAAGGACATAGTTTTATGTATTAGACAATCAGAAATGAGAAAACAATGAGAAAGGTATTCTGAATTTTTTTTTGTTTTAATGCAAGCAAACTCAGTAATTACTTTTAAACACATTGTCACTCTTACCTCATACTCATCTGTTAAGTAGTAGCTGTCTGGGTAATAGGGACTAAATATTGCATAAATCACCAGGCAGAGAAAACCTAAAGCAAATCTCTTCATAGCCGGTATAACACTGGAAGAGAAAGGAACAAGATGAGGGTGGGAGCAATAATGTTAACGGTTTGTTGTTTTCAGCTCATTTTTCATTTCATCACTCGTTCATTTCTAGCTATTTTACCTGTTTGGAGGCTGTCCAGGGCAGTCGGTGAGCTCCCCTGCCACCAGCTTCTGGTAGCTGCGCAATGTAAACTGAGGCCCCACCAGGAAGCCCCCATAGAAGTAGGAAAAGCCGTACATCTCGAGCAGAGAGGGCACAGACGACAGGGCTCCATTCCTCTGTTCTGAACTCAACTGGGACTGGAGTTTAAGGGTATGAGAAGAAGAAAAAATGAAACATAAGATGGAAAAACAGCAATATGAAGGAGGAAGAGGAGTGAAATGGGCAGAGAAGTCATTTTAAAAGCATGTTGATGGGCTCAGGATGTATCTCGTTACAGAGGATTGTTTTAGAATTTGACCACAATCTAGACTGACCACAAACTCAATATCACTGCACTAAATACTGACATTTAACTGCAGACTTCATTTGAAACGCTGATAATATTAACCAGATGAGAGCGAATGTGTAAATTTTTAAACAGATAAAAAGTTTAAACAGAATAAAAAGCACAGAATAACACTCATTAGAATAAAAATGAAATAAAGCAACAGCTGTCACAAATATGCTAGCAGCACTAGAGAGGAACAACGCTAGATGAGTGAAAGAAAGGGGAAAGGAAACACTATTGCTACTACTATTACTATTACTACAAGAAAGTTACTGTAAAACAATAGTCTTAATCTGGTTGAAGGAGGCCAATGATTGACATACACCTTAATGGACAATCTGACGATAAAAATCTTAACCAGAAGAGATTTTACTATAATTTCTTAACCAGCTCTTTAATATCTTTGGTTGGTTTAAGCCTAATACTTTTGGAGGATTGTGGGTAATGCTGCAAATCAATGAGTCGGATTAGGGTAAAATTAGATTTTTTGGCGTGAATGTGATAAAGTAAACAACACTTTTAGGAAGAAAAAATAGACATGTAATGCATCATAATATGTGTTGAAGACCTGACATTTACACTACTTTTACTAATTGCTTGCTCAGTTAACTTTAGTTTAGTAACTGACCAAACCTGTTTCTATCTGTCCATTTGTACATATCGATCATCTGCTTTATGTGATCTCTCATCTACCACTCGTTCACACGACAGAATGAAAAAAAAGAAGCAACACACGACAATTACAAGAACTAACAGACATAAACAATGAGCAAAACTCAAACGAACGACATTCCAAGACATCGACATATTGACGAATGATCAAGAGAGATCAACCAACTCACTGGTTCCTTCCCGCCGTCATAGTAATCAAATGACAGACCTGTAATCAGAAAATGCAACTGGGGTCAGAAACTATGTTAGGAGTGACTAATGCTGTCATGATCACTTGAATGAACACCTTAAAGCATGCAAAGGCCATGATGGCAGATTATCAGTGTGTTAATCGTTCACTAGAGTACAGAGGGAGACGGCAACAGGAAGATATCCAATCAAACACAATGAGAAAACATCTACTTGAACACAGAGGGGTCTAAGGAGGGTCATAGTCAACTCACCAACGAGTTTGAGTGTGAGTACACAATGAGGCATAGTCCATTTGATGTCATACTCCTCTGTCGCTGTGTAGTAATACCCTGCCAGCAGGTAAACCTACAGAAAAATACAATGAGAGGACATTCAGTGAGCAAGCAGATGTTTATCACAGTTCTACGTGACACAAAAACCTCAGGATAAAATAATGAAAACAAGGAAAGCGCTAAAACAAATCAGCGGATGTGTGCTATTTAAAAAAAAAAAAAAAAGGAAATCAGAAGTGGGCGTGACTGTTTAAAACCATGGTTTCATTGCTGTATTTCTTAAAGTGTGGGCAATAAATGCAAGAGAATGCAAAAATAAAGGCTCCAGCATTTGCACAGGAAGCATGTGACTGTATCATAAGATTACTGACCTTGGTTATATTGTGTAGGCATTAACATGGCAATTAAAAGGAAATTGCAGAAATCAGATATTAGACTGCGCAGACGAACTGGCGGGCAGTACCTGAGCCACTGCAGTAAGAGTCTGACAACAGACAAAAAGGCAGCTAATGCTATAAAGTAAGCCAGGACGCAAAGGGGAGAGGAAACACCAGGACACCTCACCATTTGAAAGGTAAAGCTGCTCAGGACAGTTGTTACCGTCCTTCCCATGAGCCTCAGCATCAGGAATTGGACAAGGATGCATACTGCGGAGTGATAGATCTGAGAGCCTGGGAAAGAGACGGACAGAGGGGGGGATGGGGATGATGGTGAGTGCAGTCAAGTGTGACCTGTAGGACTGGACATGACAACAGCATTTTCCCCTGCACAGTTCAATATTGGCAGAGATGGAGAAAGAACAACAAGGCAAATCTATGATACACATCTGACTTGAAATGAGCTTTCAAAAGAGGGTTGGAAGGAAAGTATTCCACGAGGAGAAAGATAAAGCAACAGACCTGCTGTAAAATCCAAGTGCAGCCACGACAGAATAAAGGACAGAGAAAGAGTTCAGTGTTAGCAGTTTGTGTTTACTCCAGCATGCCACTTCAATATTAGTTTACTCTACTGTAGAGCTGAAGAGATTAGTCATCACAGTCATTCATTCAGCAGGAAATGTATCTTTAACTATTTTGATAATCAATAAATTTATTTTTTAAGCAAACAGATAAAAACTTGGTGATTCCAGTTTCTCAAACGTCAATGTTTGAGGTTTTTTTTCTTATCTCTGTGACAGTAAATTGATTTATATGGAGGGCTGCAACCGATTATTATTTTCATTATCTAAGATTGACAATAATTGACAGATTAATCGATTATTTGTTGTGTCAATGAAATGTCAGATATGCCTGTTATAACTTACTTGCTCTCTGTAACAAATACCATTACAATGTTCTCCTTTCCTGTATTTAGATATGATATGTGATGAGCTCATATGTGCTGAAAAGACAACCACATTTTGAAGATGGTTAAAAAGATAAAAGCGGCATATAGTCACGTCTTAAGTTAACTAATGTTAGCAAAATGTGTGTGTGTGTGTGTGTGTGTGTGTTGCTTTTGTCTTTCAATCATCTTCAAAATGTGTTTGTCTTTTTAACATAGGCGAGCATAACACATAGCATATCTAAACACAGGAAATCTTAATTTATTCAAATTGCTTGTTTTGTTTTTATTCAACCAACAGTCCCAAAACTCAAAAGATATTCAGTTTAATATCACATGAGGCAAAACAAGCAGGAAGCAAGCAATATGAAAACCTCACACTGGGCTTGTGTAACTGAAAGCAACAACTAATCAATTAAAGGAGAGAAGAATCAGCTTATTAATCGATGATGAAAATAATTATTAGAGCCATCAGCGTCTGGGTGCCTTTTCCTGTATAATTAAGCGCCTGCGGGTAATTTTAAGTGAGCGTCTCTGAAAAAAAAAAAAAAAACCACAAACATTTAGATGTAAATCAACAGTTGTAAAACCTGCTGGTATAGTTTCTAGAGAACCACATTTACTTTCCTGTCAACCCAGAAATGACTCACTTCATCCACATGAAGTCTTCAACTAGATCTCCTTTTGACATTATGTCCCAAAATAAATGGGTTAAAATCCAGGGTTGCTTCTAGATTAGTTAGTTTTTCATAAAATATAATATGTAAATAAAATATGGAATTAAAAATAAAAATGAGATAATACTTCAATTAATTGTGCCTCCCTAAATATTAAATAAAAATTAAAAAGGCAGCGTGCTGACTTTTTGACCGCTAGTAGCGCCGTTAAGGACTTTCTTAATAAGTCGGGTCTCTGTTCTGATTGTGTCTTGTGCACCACACACATTAGAAATGCAGCCAGCACCACAAAGAGTTTAAAAGCTTGGGCTTTTTTTTTTTTAATAAATATCTACGGAAGAAAATGCATTCAAGCTGTTTTTAGATATCACTATCAAAGGATACACACCAATACATTCATCTAACAAACACAGCCTGTGTTGTTAGAAAAGTCTTCCCCACCATATCTTAACGAAAAATCAAGGAGTAGAAACTTTCTTTAAAGTACATGTATTGGTAATGTATCAAACAACTATAACATGAATAATGCTCTCCCATTGTTGTTGTTGTTGTTTTTACAGTTGAATCAAACAACACACGCCCTTAATTCACGCGGCGTCTCACCGAAGTTGAATGCTGCCAGAGCCAGTCCAGAGAACGCGTGGAACAAGTGTATGACTGTTGCAGGCTGGTAGAACAAGAACCGCCGGTACACCAGAGCACAGGGATATCCTGCAGGAAAAGACAGAGAGGAGAAACATGTTAACAGAGCTACGGTGCATGACTTCACATCAGCGACGTGAGCCATTGTTGACACCTTGTGATATTAACAACACTGACCTTGTGGTAAAAACACATTGTGTGTGCTCTCTCCACTCACTCACACACAAACCACAACACAACACACACACACACCACACCACCACACAACATCCACACACACACACAGAGTTGCACATTAGTACAGTACGTGTTGCTGCAAATTTGGCATCTCAAGGAGAAAGATAACTGTGCCCGTGTAGGACGAGGAAAGGACAAACACTCACCAGTGATCATGTAGAAGGTCTTTTCACAGAGGGTCAACCAGTTCAGTTTCAGACTTCAGAATGTATTTCTGGATTACATGCATTATGAACATCCCCAAACTGCTATCTTATACCTGTATTTGTCACAATTATGATATGATTCTGGAGAAATACTGTATAATATAACTGTGGGGCCGAGCAGTCCACCGTTTTAATTAACTCTTTAATTGGATGAGAAGTCCCTGTACCTTCCTGTGTTTGGCAGAGATCTATAATTAGCTGATATCGTGGCTGGGGATGGCATTATTTACATGCACTGCAGCAACATAGCAACAGAACACGCAGCTTATAATATAAAATGAGCTCAATTTGATCTTTATTGTAAAATGATGAATAATTTAAGTTTACGTCTGCTTCCACTGGGTTACTTTAACTAAGACCAAAACCCAACAATGAACTGATCCAACAAGTACTGTCGGTGAAGCCAAAGCCTGATATATCTTACTCCTCTCTGCCATAGACATCCATTGTTGTCCAAACACACATCAGTGGCCCACACTGTTGCACTGGGTGACGTGCTCCTTCATGGCGATGAAAGGGGGGCACTGCAGTTTATTTTAAGTCAACGCCACGTGCACCATCCTGCTGCCATAAATATTCACCAGTGCGTCTTAACACTAGAGTATTATTATTATTATTATTATTATTATTATTATTATTAATCTGTTTAGGAAGTAAAAATTAGACTAAACATGTCTGAACTCCCCCAGACAGAATTATTTGAAAGACACATAAACAAAAAAAGAGTCATTATTTTTATTTATTTTTTTTTTTAAATGGGATTTGGGGGCTTTAGGCGGAAAATAGAATAACAACGGTCTTATCCTTTAAAAACTTTTGCAATCCAATAAGTCAAGTATAAAGCCGCGGCAGGGCTAATCATCCGAGTCACTTGGCTGTGGTCTTACAAGCTTCTTCTGAAACTGATTTGTAGCTGTTGCGTTTTCATTCTACATACACAGTACAGCAATGGATCTAATATCAAATATCCACTTCCATACACTGCGTCAGTGTGTAGTAGCTCCTGTAAAGCAGCAGGCTAAACCAAAGCACAGTTATATCAGCCTATGTATAGCAGAGGGAGCGCTGACCAAAAAAAAAAAACACCATTTATATTTTAAGCTCCACTGTTGTACTGCAAGGAAGTTACTATATAACGACAATATTATGCAAGACACATTAAGCAACCCTGAGACAGGGAGCGTGCAACAGGCTGACTGAAGGGCTTCAGGCGTTAGGCAACCAAAGTCTGATATGAATGGCCACGTTCAGCCTGCTGCATTGTTGCTGTGAGAAACAGATGTGTCCATGTGTCAGGACAAAGTTCAACGAGGACTGCCGCCCTCCCCCCCGACACCCAGACCCTGTGGTCTTAACCTTGTGCTACATGTTAAAACCTGCAATCAAACACTCACTCATCTCTGCTGACTGCACAGCTCTTCATTCCATCTTATTTAAATAAAGGTCATGTTGTCTCTCTTACATCTTTATTCGTATTTTCTGTGTTTATTGTGCACCAACATACCCAAAAGTTAAAACTCCTTGTGTGTGAAAACCAGTTCTGATTCTGACTCTTGTTTGTGCACTTTAAAAAGGACAAAAATTAACATTAAATCCCGGTCTTTTCCAACATGTTTAGTCCCCGCGCCTCTCTTCTATTCAATTCAGTGGGAAATGGAGGGTTTTGGGAAGGGGGGGGGGCATATTTTGGCAGCCTGCTCTCATTCAGTCCTTGTCAAAGCGGCTTCCCCCCTCCCCCAAAAAACAACAACATTGGGGCTATTATTTCCCACCAATCCCAACGTCCAGCACCAACATTAAGCTGACCCTAACTGCCCCCAAAAACCAATACATCAAACTGTAGCAGGGCGTGTTTTACCAGTCTGCCCAGCTCACTTGACCTAACAGCCCAAACTAATAACAACTTAATTCAAGAGAGGGGGGCAGATTCCGACGGTTGACACCCCAGTAGCCACAATACAGTCAGTTAACTGCCACAGGTTAGCCGTTAAGCAGGAAACAGTTACTGTTAGTTGACCGTTAAAGCCGCACTTGTCCACGAGCGTTTACTGTTGGTTTTTCGGTGTATTTAACCCGAGCTAACTTAAACAAGAGCGGACCAAAACAACCGGTTCTACCGCCGGTGGCTGTGTGTGTCAGTCGACTGCTTTCACTGTGCTGTGTGTGCTTCGAGTTCGACTGCCTTTCACGTGGACTGGTGTGTGTTCAGTCGACTGCCTTCACTGTGGCTGTGTGTGTCACGGTTAACTGCCCTTCACTGTGGCTGTGTGTGTCGGCTACTGCCTTCACTGTGGCTGTGTGTGTAAGGTTAACTGCCTTCACTGTGGCTGTGTGTCAGTTAACTGCCTTCACCGAGCGTTATATGGTTAGCAAGTGAGTTAACAGTCACACAGCCGAGCAAATGAGAGCAGGCTCAGCACTCCCCGAGGAAATACCCTGCCACCGGGAAGGGGATGTCAGCTTCGGCTAGCTACCAAGAATAAACCCCCGTAACTCGCGTGTGAGGCGAAACTCACCGATTAAAATAGATAATATGAGTCGAACCGCTGGCTCCGGGGAACCTAAGGACTCCGAGAGATTCTCCAGCAAGGGAGCCGCCATCTTTCTTGTGGGCGGAAACGTCTCTTCGCGACGGTTCAGTGAACTCTACTGATTCACGGCAGACATCCACACACTCACTCACTCACTCCGGCTTTTAAAGGGCCTTCACCGTTCAAAACCTCCTCCAAAGTTAAACTGTGTGACTCTCCTCCCATTTCCCCTCCCCTCCTGTCGTTCTCTCCCCCCTTTCACCGCTCTTTTATTGGTGTTTTGTCACACTATTGGATTTATAGACATATACTGCAGTCTTTAAGGATGTCAACATATTAACATTATCATTAAACTGCTGACTGACACTTAACTTCTATCTCTATATATTGCCATATATTGTATTAAAATGTATAAACTTCATTACATTTGACTATTTTCTATTTTTATTTTATATATTTTTATATATATTTATATATTTATTTATGTTGTTAGGCATAATGTACAAACTTAATTATTTTTATTTTATATATACTTATTTTAATTGTATATATTTGTATATATATTTATTTTAATTTTATATATTTTTTATATATACTTATTTTAATTTTTCTATAGTTTTATATACATTTATTTCTATTTTTATACATATTGTTAGATATATTGTTAGACAGACACTTACTTCTCTTCGCTATATATTGTCATATACTGTATTATAATGTACAAACTTAGACTATTTTATATTTTACTATTTTTATTTTATATATTTTTATATATATGTATTTCTATTTCTAGATAAATTGTTAGATATTGTAATAATAACAATAATAATAATAATAATAATACATTTATTATATAATAAATATCATTATTAGTAGTATATTTAATGTCACGTGAGCGCCTTAACAAACACATTTCCCCCAATAAGTAGTATTTGTGATTCTGATATAGGCCCACCATGGATGTATTTATACCGTACCTATAATAATAATAATAATAA